AAACTGTACAGGTTGGTCGGGTTGAAACCTTGATACATCAGAATATTCTCCTAATCTTGAATATGTTGCTTTCTCTAGTCTACTCATAATTTATTTTTCATCATCAACTATTTGGTACAACTTATTCACGTTTCTTAAATTTTAAGTAATTATATCACATTCAATTAATTTTTTTCAATTTACATTTATATATGTTCATAATTACTGAACATATATACAAATGAGTTATATAGAGATGGGGAATATATTCAAAATATATGTATATGAACTTATGAAGAGGGTACGTGATGATGTAAATGTGTAATTATCTAATGTACATGTTAGTAGAGATTCAACAATCATATTAAATCCAAGAAATAAAAGGATATCGAGTTTATCGGGTTGGGTTCAAACAAAAGTAACTTAATATCAACTGAATACACACGGATAGAAGATTTTACAACTCGATTAAATATCATGTTGCTTCGAATTAAGTTAATGACTTTCAACAACATGTATTTTAATGCATTTGTAACTGGCTTTTCTAGACTTGGGATCATGTGAGACCAAAGGTTTTTCGTGAGACCTGTAAGACCAATTCTCAACCCTTGGATTAGATATACAATCGTCAGATCTGAACATTCATAAACGCCACGAGACTTCTCAATAATTACAAAATTGTCACCGTGCAACTTTATACCATTAGATCATCAGCTTATAAAGTTAATCAATGAACATAAATTGGTCTTACGGGTCTCACAAAAAACCTTTGGTCTCACGTGAACCAACCCGCTTTTCTATTATTTGATTTGTCTAAATGTTTTTTTATGATTACGAAAACAGTCCTTACACAAATAGTTGTAAATGTTAATTAATCTATAAAATATATCGTATTTCGTTTGTTATAATAAAAGATTAAGAATGTATAGATAATTTGTATATGATAAATGTAATTTATTAAAATAGTCATTTTTCGTGGTTAGTTTCATCTGCTAGTCATTTTCTCTTCAAGTATAGGTCCGTAAAATCCACGTTCGCAATTGTGGACCCAACTAAAAGGCAAAAAAAAAATTACATTTTCTACCTCTATTTGCAAAAAATTACATTTTTCACCCAAGTCCATATTTTTTTTAAATTACGGACCTATGGCTAAACCTTGTAAAGAAGTGGCTAAAAGTTAAAACAAACAGATAAAAATGACTATTTAATTAATTTTCCTTTAATTATTGAAAGTTATAATTTTGACTTGTTTGTCATTAAATAGAAAAGGACTCTTCAACAAATTTTCTCAACGTAAATTCAAAATTGACAAAAAATATTAATTATTTGTACCAATTATTTTAAGTAAAAAAATATCTAATAATACATAATCATATAATTTCAATGGTCTTATTGAAACATCTTTTAAATTCAATATAGTATTTCAAATACCCAAGTCCTGCATATATTAGTTTATATCATTTATTAATTGATTATTAAGGTAGCGTTTGGTACGCAGACATAATTGGATAGGACTGGACATGACTGGACAAGAGGGTAGAACTTGACGGGACATGACTGAACATAATAAGAGTATGTCTGGTGTTTGGTACGACTAGGACTGGACGAGACAGAACTAGACAAGCTACCCCCAAAAGTTATTTGATGATTTTAAATATTATATAATAGTTATGATTAACACAAATAAAGTAAATAATTAAAGAAGAAATATTTGTACATAATTTTCATATTTGTACCAAATTTGAATGAAAATTTGATATAATTGATGGTAGTAGTGGTGGTGGTGAAGGTGGTTTTGGTTATGGTGGAGGTGGTGGTGGCCGACGGTAGTGGTGGTAACGGGCGATGGTGGTCAGTGGCTGACAGTGGTTATGGAGGTAGAGGCAGTGGTGCTTGGTGAACGACGGTGGTTATAGAAGACATAAAGATGGTAGATTGTGGTGGTGATGGCGGTTGACAACAGTGGAGGAGGTAGTTGTGGTTGATGTAGTGAAGATAGTGCTGGTGGTGGTTATGGTGGAGGTGAGGTGGCGATGAATGGTGGTGGAGGAGGTTGTTGCAGTAGAGGAGGAGTTGAAGGTGGCGAACGGTGGTAGTGGTGGTGGCAATGGACGGTGGTGTCGGTGGCCGACTATGGTAGAGGTGGCAATGGACTTGGTGGACGGTGGTTGTGGAGGCGGTGGAAGATGTTGTTGTGGTGGAAGAGGAGGTGGAGGTGGCCGTCGGTGACCACCAGTAGTGGTGGCGACGGCCGAAACTAGCGGTGATGACCATTAAAACAAATATCATATTAAGGTTATATGGCAAACTAGGGTAAATCTAGTAATATTTTAGTTTATATCTTATTCGTGTCCCATCTTGTTCCACCTATTTTGGTGGAACAAAAAAAAACCTTTTTTGTCCCATGTTGTCCTATCTTGTTCCAGTTCTTGTCTCTGTCTCATGTGGCGCCAAACGTAAGAAAGTGAGTTCTTGTTCTGTCTCATGTTGTGCCAAACATGATGTTGTGCCAAACATGGGACAATGGGTTTTGTCCCGTCCTGTCCCGTCTCATATACCAAACGCAGCCTAAATATTCAATGAACTTTAAATAAATAAAAAATTAAACTTTATAATTTTAAATAATTAAATCGCTAAACCTTTTTTATAAACGAATCATGTAACTTTCAATATAGGTATCTTTAACCGGATAGGAAGGTTGTAAAGTTAAAAAAAACATAAACTAGTTTTACCGTTTCAAATGTTAAGTCATTCAAACCCATCGCACCCAACAACATCGGTACCCTTTGTCACCCAATTATCATCTACGCATGGGAATGAGGCGGCGACCCAAATCCATGTCTCTGATTCCAATCTCCATCCTCATACCTATCCCCGTCCCCACCGGGGAATATCATCATATCCCCATCCCATGCCCGACAGGGAACGGGGATCCACAATGGGGAATCGAGAATTTTTCCCTCGTTAATATAAGATGTTTTAAATCAAATATGTTGAACACCACATTCGATTGATAATGGTTCATGCTTAAATTTTACATATTTTCAAAATTTGCTCTTATAGAACATAAAATATTCATAAGTGAATAAAATCATATCATACGTAATTGTTTGATTAAATGCTTTCGACTTTCAACGTTTTTTATCTAAAAAAAAGACAACTAAAAAATGTATATTAAAAGAAATGTCAAAATACTATTTCTAAATTTAAAAGATATTAAATCTAATTCATTATAAATAACATATTTAATAATTAGATTATATAATATTCGGGGACGGGGACGGGGACCCATGCCGGGG